AATGCTGCAGCACTGACACTGGTTCCTCTGCCATGGCTTGGGAAGGTGAAGCCCACCTGGAATCCTGGAGTATCCTGATTTGCAAGGGACCCCAAGGACCACTGAGTCCAACTCCCAACCCTGCATGGGACACCCCAACAAAACCACTCTGTTCCTGAGAGTGTGGTCCAAACACTCCTGGAGCTCTGGCAGCCTTGGGGCTGTGCCCATTCCTTGAGGAGCCTGGGCAGTGCCCAGCACTCTCTGGGGGAAGTCCTTTTTCTGTTCTCCAACCTAAACCTCCCCTGACACAGCTCCAGCCATTCCCTGGGTCATCAGAGAGAAGAGATTGGTGCTCATGAGGAAGCTGCAGATTGGGATGAACAAGAAAAGTGCCCTCAACTGCTCCTTCCAGACCCTCCTCTATGTCTATGTCCTTCTTTTGGATGCTCTTCAGTAGTTTTAAATCCTCTTATACTGTGGCACCCAAAACTGCCCCCACAGGACTGGAGGTGAGGCTGTCCCAGAGCAGAGCAGAACAATCCCTTCCTTCAGCACCTGTTTCCTTAGCCCTGAAACTTGAGAGGGAGAGGCTGTGGCCGCTCAGACCCCTCCATCCCCCCACACAGACCCCTCCATCTCCTCCTCAGGCCCCTCCATCCCTCTGCGGCACTGGAGCTGTGTGTGGGCAGCTGCACCCAGCAGCCATATGTCTCCTTTGCACCCTCATTTAGCTCAGGAGCAGGTCTGTTCCCTGAGAAACAAGGCCAGGAAGAGAATTTATTTAGCAAGAGCTTCCTGCCTTTTCCAGATCTGCTGCTGGATCCATGTGAACTGGAAATGCAGAACTTTTCTTGCTTTTATTCCCTGCCCAACCAGGAGCTGCTGCTGCATTCCCGGGGCTCGGCAGCTGCAAGCTGCAGGTGGCAAGGAGGCAGCAGAGGTGGAATTCCATGTTCCTTTCTGGAGCGAGGAGGAGGATTTCAATGTTTCCCGACTCCCTGCTCCTTGGCCAGCATTCCCAGTATGCCCAGTGCCTGCTGTCAGTGGCCCAGTTGCTTTGCCAATCCCCATCCCCAAACCAAACCAGCAGCAACACCTCCCCCACCTTCTCCCTTCCACCTTCTCCCACTTTTGCTCCATTTTCTTTCCTGACACAGATTTTGTGTTGCATCTGTGTCATTTTTTTTCCTCTCTCCCAAGGCCCAGCTCAGTCCCACCCACCCCCTTGAGTGCTCTGAACTTCCCCAAGCCCCGTCTGTCACCGTCACTCTCGTCTGCCACCCCCTCGCTGCTCCCACGGCTGCCCGAGGCTGCGGGGCTGATTCATTCATCCTGCAAGGAATCCTCCTCTGGAAAGCAGCAGTGCCCAGATCTTCCCCCAATTCTGCACGCAGGGAAATGTCCTGGAGGCTGCCTGGTGGTGATGGAAGCTGAAACAGGAGGGGGCAGCTGATAAATGTCAGTTCTGTGGCTCTGAGTTGTCTTTTCTGGGAAATCTGATCAGATTCCCTGTGTGATGCTGAAGTTACATTGCAGCACGGTGGGAAAAGATCCTGTTATCATTCTTAAATTTGGCTGAGGTGTTTGGCTTGGGGGGAAAAGCTTGTTAGAGGGTGGGTGGTGCAAAGGGAATGAGCTGTACAAAACCTGCTCCTGTATTTGAGTGTCGTGTGTGCAGTTCCGGTGCTGCCTCCTCCCTCCCTTCCCCAAATCTGCTCCAGATCCTCTTGGAATATTTAAACCCCCGGCCTGGCCACGAGCCTGGAGCAGTTTCCTACAGTGTGGAGTGTTTTGGGATGAGGGGAGGCAGAGTTTACCACCTTCACTCCCTGCACAATCCTCCCATGAATCAGGCAAAGTGTTCCCTTTTCCCTTCCTGACCTAATTCCTGTTGGAGCAGCGTGGGATTCCCTCGTGTGGGGCTCCTCACCCTGTGCAGCATCAGCACTGCTGGATCTCAGCCTGCTGGGCTGAGGACAGGCCCTGCAGCTGGAGGATGGATGCTTTCCCTGCACCTTTTCCCCAGCAATTTTCTGGGATATTTCCCACCCACTTAAGCCTTGAGTTCAGTAATTTTTTCCCTTTCCTGCTTGGCCCATGTGTGGCTCTGGTGCCAGCCTGGAGCAGGTGGTGATGGAATACAAGGAGCTGAGGTGGCCAAGCTGCCTCCCTGTGTCAGTCCTGTCCCATTGTCCCATTGGATCTGGCATTTTCCAGCCATCCCAGGGCTCTTGCTCTCCATGTCTTCACAAATTTGTTAAAACTCTTATAAAAATCCATGGAATGGAGGCAGCTCACTGCATTCTCCTGTTTTTTGTGTCTGGAACCAGTTCCAGGAGCTGATAAATGTCAAATACATGTTTTGTGCTCAGCAGCTCCACAAATTAAAGGGGAATAGTGCAGGAATATCAGCTGTTCCTGTGCAGGGTTGGGAGTTGATAAATCTCTGTGAGTTCTGACTCTGTTTCAGCCACATTCTGCCAGAGGAATTGAGAATGAGTTGTTAAACAGATGTGTTCTGGTACGAGGGGTTTTGTTTGAGCCCTGCTCTGATTTAGGCTCCCCTTTTTGGAAATTTGTCTCCCCAGAGGTGTTTCCTGGTGCCACATCCCTCCACAGCCACGTGGAGCTGGTTTAGTCCTTGCTCAGACTCTGAGACCTGCTCTGAGTTTTTGTAGGAACTGGAAGGGAGGGAGGAATTCAATCCCTCTCCAGCTGATAATAAGGAATAAGGAGAGATTCAGGACAGGTGGCTTTGAAGTTAGAGTTTGAATATTTCTGGTTTTGGGGTGGAATTTGGGGTGGTTTTTGACTGGAATCATGGAATCCTGGAATGGTTTGGGTTGGGAGGGACCTTAAAGCTCATCCAGTTCCACCCCTGCCATGGGCAGGGACCCCTTCCACTGTCCCAGGCTGCTCCAAGCCCCCTCCAACCTGGCCTTGGACAATTCCAAGGATCCAGGGACAGCCCCAGCTGCTCTGGGAATTCCATACCAGGTCCTCACCACCCTCCCAGGGAGGAATTCCTTCCCAATATCCCACCTCTCCCTGCCCTCTGGCACTCCAGTTCCTGATGAGCTGTAGGGGCAGGGCTGATGTTTTGATTCCAGATGATCAATTTGGAATTAACACTTAATTTGATGAGCAGCTCCTGGTTGAGGCTCCCAGCACACCAGAGCACAGGCACTGCCCTGTCCAGGCTGACTCTAATCCAGAGGTGCTTCCATGGACTGCCTGCTTCTCGCTAATCAAAGGGAAGCAATTAAATACAACTTTATCAGGAATTCTTGTCTTAATGTGTAATTTGAGTCCCACTTGTGCTGAAGTATCTGACCAGAAGGAGATACCAGGGTTACCTTATCTCACAGAGCATGTTTGGAGTACAAGGCTATTTTCTCACTGAAGATTTGACTGATTACAAAAAGAACGAGTCTGGGATTTGGGGAAATGCAGATTTTTGGTAGTGGTTTACCCTGGGGCAGAGCACAGCTCTGGTTGCTGGAATTTATTTCACCTAGGTGATGTTTGCTGGTTTGGAGCTGCCCTCAGTTTCTCTCTCTCCATCACTCACCTGCCTCAGGATCTCTGTTCTACCTCAGGGATTTGTCCAGCCCTGGTGGCTCCAAAATCCTGGGGAGAGCCCCAGGCTGCACCCTGGGCTTGAGTGGCTGGGTGTCCTGGGGTGACTTTATAATGCTTCTGTCCCCAATCATCTCTTCTCTTTGTGTTGAATATTAAGTTCTACAGCTTCAAAACTGGTTCCAAGAGTAAAGAGAGAGAGAAGTGCAGAGTTTATTATCAAAAACTGTACTTGTTCCCCCTCATCCTTCACACAAACTGTTGTCTGCAGTAAACAGCAGGAAAATGCTCTCCTTTGCTTTTAGTTAGTTTTTTCTGGCTAGCTAAGGCAAAGTTCCCTGAACTGTAAATTTTCTTTCCTTTTTCTTTTAAAATTGTTCAAACCTGCTCTGAACTATAAACGCAGAAAAGCTCTGGGAGCTCACACCTGTAGCCCCACTCCAGGCTGCAGCATTTCCTAAAGCTGAAAAAATTAAAAACAGACTGAATAAGCCAGGCTGCAAACCACAAAAAAGACTCCTCTAAATTTGTCATCTCTTCAGAGCAACAAGAACTTTTACTGTTTAGTATTGTTCATTTTTTGTGCTAGAAAGTGCTTTGCTTATTAAATAAACAGTTTTTTTCCACTTCTCTCAAAAAAAAATAAAAAATTCTGCAAACCAATTAAAAAAACCCCAAACTGCCTGAATCTGTTTCCTAAAGAAAACCCATTCAAAAGTTTCCTCTCAAATTTGCCCTAAACCAGAGCAGTGGCCTTGGTCTGAGTGCTTGGTTTGGGATCTGTGCACAGGGGTGGGTTCCAAGGGAGTTCCAACCTGCAGGAGTTTGTGTCCAAGAGTGTAAGAGCTGAAATGAGGGATGGGGGCTCCACGTGGCTCTTTAAAATGCTATTTGTTGTATTCAAATGATACAGCAATTATTTATTATTTTATATTCTGTTTATTGTATCCAAAACCAGCAATTATTTCTTATTTAAAATGTTGTTTCTTGTATCCAAATACAGCAGTTCAGGGGTTGTGGGTGACAACCCATCAATACTTTTACTGTTACCTATAGCCTATCATGACTACTCACATTACCATAGTCATGTTACTATTTTCCAATCACAAAAAGTTAGTATGTTACAGTTTAAGCTAAAAGTTGTTCTTCAGCTTTTTCACAGTGAGAAATTTAAAAATCTTTCTCCTTGCAACATGGCATTTTTGTTTGCCTGTAAAAATCTTTTTACTTGATAAAATCATATCGTGTTTGAGGTGGATTTATCCTTTGCTCAGAGTTATAAAAGCCTTACTAACATGCCTTTGGTCTTTTTTGTTATCCACTAAGACTGGCTCAGCAATTTCTTTTCTTCTATATCCAAACTTGCCATCATTTCTATTTCTTCTTTAGATTCTACATTCAAAGATCTTGGTGTAAAACCTTCCTTAAATCTTTTATCTTTTCCAACACAAGAGCAGCTGTGTCACCCCCTCACCTGTCCCTTGTCCCTCAGGTGCCCCTCGCTGCCTCGGAGGCCTCTGAAGATGTCCAACAGCAACACAGCACAGGAGTCCCTGGAAATTATGAAGGAATCAGAAAAAAAAGTGGTCGAGGAATCCGTGAACAAAACCAAATATGTGTCCAGGTCACCAAGCAAGGAGGAGGTGGAGAAGGATGGGGGGGAGGAGGTGAGCGTGCGCCAGGAGTCCCAGGTGAGTGCTGCCATCGGGAGGTGGGGTCTGCACCTTCAGTTCCTGCCTTGTCTGAAATTTCTGCTGTCTTCACTCAGAGCCAGGATTGAAAACACGAAGGAGATGAATTTTCTCACGTTTGGGCTTGGTTGTTTATTAAATTTTATCTAAAGTACAGAGTTCTGCAACATTTCTAGCTACCAGCTAAAAGTGAGAAAACGGAGGTGAATTTAGCTAGTTAAAAGGTTTCTTAAAGCTAAACAGTTCAATTTATTTATACTTTTAAATAAAATTATAAAATACTACATACTTGATAAAGTATATTATTTATAATAATAAGATAATATATAATTTATATCATATAATTATGTAAATAACATAGATTCTATTCTATTATGTTATGTTCTATTGTACTGTATTACATTGTATTATATTATATTATCTATATATACTTATCTATATTATGTATAGGTATATCTATTTTATATATAATAGCCTATATTATTTGTACTTTTGACCCAATAACCAAACTCCTGTGGCCCTCAGTGCAGCACTGGCTGTCCAACCAGAAACTACCTGAAACCATGAAGAAGGAAGAACACCAAAGAAACAGCACCCAAAATCCTCCATTTTGTCCCATATTATTACTATATGATAAAAACTTAAAATTTAAAACCCTTCACCATGTGAAATCACACACTTCTATTTAACTGCACACCTGTGATTTTAACTCCCATCACTCAAATTTGGAATCCTTCTCCAAGGCCTCAAAAGCAGTGTTCTCCAGGGGGTCAGAAAGCTCAAAAACCCCAAATTTCTGGGATTTTAGGGAGAGCTGGGCACTCACCTGCTGCTTCCCATCCCTTCCCAAAGGATCCAGAGCCTGTGCCTCCTTTTCCCCAGGGACCCCACTCTGTTCAGGCTCTCCTTTCCTCTTTAGCTGAATCTGTCCTGGCCACAATGACTGAAATATTCCCTGAGCCTGGGAGTGGAATAACTGGAATATTCCCTGGGGGACACTCGTGCTCTGTCCCCAGGTTCTGGTGCCAGGGCTGTCACTTCCCTCTTACTCCTTTCTTTGATCTAAGGATGAGTTAATGACTTCATGTCAAGTGGAGGCATCCAGGGAGAGCTGGGTTTCAGGAATGCTGCTGCTCCAGTTAAAAATAGGCTGGGAATGTTTTGGGATTTCATTTCAAGAAATGAAGAAAAGCTCTGTGCAGGCATAATTTGGGAGTGCTGGGACTCATTCCTGCTGCTCTGCTCTCCTGCCACCTGTGCTCGTGGCTCCTGCTGGAGCCTGCTGCCATTCCAGCTGTGGGCTGGCACATCTGCCAGATGTGCTCACAGCTGCACAGGCAGACCCACAGCTGTGCAGGGAGAGCCTGACCAGGCAGTTTGGAATGGATTGGGGGGGATTTCTGGGTTTGGTGGCTCTCCAGACAGAGCAGCAGCATCTCTGATCCCCCTTTTGTGTCCCAGGAATGGCAGAAAAGTTCCAGGTTAAGCTTCTTGCCTTCCCTTTTCTGTCTCCACAGAAACGAACATCGAGTCATGGACACGCCAGGAAAAGAGCCAAGGTAAGAGCTCTGCTGCCCCCA